TCATGAAACCTGGGATCTGTGTCAGTTTGGTCATGGGAGCCTGGCTGGTGGGTTGTCTTCAGGCTACCATCCTGACCTCCTTTACCTTTCAGTTAACCTACTGTGGACCCAATCAGGTGGACTACTTCTTCTGTGACATTCCTGCTGTTTTACCCCTGGCTTGTACTGAAAGTGCTCTGGCCCAGAGAGTGGGTTCCATTAATGTTGGCCTTCTGGCTCTAATGCTTTTGTTCAGTGTCTGTGTCTCCTACACTCGCATTGGGATTGCCATTTTGAGAATCCATTCAGCAGAGGGCAGGCAGAAAGCTTTCTCCATCTGCAGTGCCCACCTCACTGCAATCCTCTGTGCCTATGGACCTGTAATCCTCATCTATGTGCAGCCTGCACCCAACCCCTTGCTTGGTGCCATGGTGCAGATATTAAATAATATTGTCTCACCCATGCTGAATGCGTTAATCTATTCCTTAAGGAACAAGGAAGTGAAAAGATCTCTGAGAAGGGTGTTCCTAAATGTGTTTACTGTTCAGGAATAAATTATGGGTTTTAAATGGATTTTAGGAATGTGTTGTCTCTTAATATCATCCTTCCTGTTTCTTCCTCTTAAATAAATAAGCACATAAGAGAAAATGCTTCTTCTGAAAGCATTATATTTTGTTTGCCTAATAATATTGTCCATGTGTGCGCCTCTGTAATCCCTGAGACCTCATAAATAATACTTTTCTCCATGTCTTAATCCAGTGTAAAGAATCCAAAGGGCATAGCAAGCAGCTGGATACATGTCTTGTCTCTATAACGGGCAACCAATTTTGCCTGGTTAATGATAGAGAGGATCTGGGGTAGTCCAGGAAACAGCCTTCAGTAGTCCCTCTCTGTGCCAAATCAAACTTCATTTCATTTTTTTCTCCACTCAGAAAGAAATCGTTGCCCTTTTCTGTCTATAAGCATTTGAGTTCCTCCATTTTGCTAAGAAGAGTATTAACTAACATTTATCACGCATGCTCTGTCTTCTGGGCATTGTAGTGAACATTTCATATATGTCATCTTATGTAATCTTCACATCACCTCCATAAAGTAGAGTCTACATTTGGAAGAAAATAGCTTTAAGGATTAGAGACTTCAAATAACAGACCCAAGCTTGCACATTAAGAGCCAATCAAACCTCAAACAGCTCCAGTAAAGTCCAAAGCCCCTGTTTTTTATCTACCACATGGCTGCCCTAAATGATCTGATTGGCAGATTAATCACCTATATCACTTCTCTCCAGAGCTTATGATACAAAGAAGGTGTTCAGTAAATAACTGGTAAAATGAGCACTGACAGAGGTCATGTTTATATATTGACTTTACTCTTATTTCCATTTATTCTGTTCTACTACCCATTGCCCCCGCCTG